CTTCAGAATTAGAATTCATGTAGCTGTGGACAAGTTTGGGTAAGTCGCATCCCTGCCCCACTCGGGAGACTGTTAGGGTTGGAACAGATATAATTCTTCAGGCTTTTGTTTAAAGCTTATTGACCTATTATCCTCCAGAAAGACTTAACTACTGGTTAAAATACTCACTCACATGGGGTTTCATCATTTTTGTCATTTTATAGGTATGAAATATTACTTCAAAAGTTCTCTTTAGTGCTAAGAGAGATCATTTCCCCACATAGCGACTCGGGAAGTTTCTTGCTCAGTCTAGATACGTACGATTGTGGATCAAAACCATGTGGTGGACCTTCTTTCTGTGGGTTTTTGTGATGCCTTTTCTTCAGTGGATGCTCTAAGGAGTTGGGCTGAAGAAATTGTGAAATAGTATATGCATACAGAAACTACTAACCATCTCCTTAACTCAATACAGTGGGGCCTTGATTTATGAGTGTCCCAACTAACGAGTTTTTCGAGATACGAGTTGCGAGCTAAAATTCGGGTTGCGAGCCAGCTTCAGATACCCCACCGCTAGTTGGCGCAGCGAACGTCACAGTGAACGCCACAACATCAGCCCAGCATCACGTGTCTCACTCGTTTACTTCTTGATTTGACATACGAGTAATTTGAGTTACGAGCTCTGTCATGGAACGAATTAAACTCGTAAGTCAAGGCCCCACTGTATTGGAGTAAATACAGTTACATAGATATCTTTATTATAAAAACACGTGTAGGCATACTCCGAAGGAGTGGTAATGAAGGAGTATTTAAGTATAAAAGGCATCAAGTTTAGCTAAAGTATACTAAAAGTGAATTGTTTTTAACTTGAATAATCTTTAAAAGGTTAGCTGGATTCCCAGGCTAACCTCTGAAAACCTTTTAAACCTAGAATACAGCCTAACTGTGCTACCTGGTATGTCCAGAATCTGTATTCCAGTCCATACTTTGGAAGTTGACATTGTACTCTTCCTCATCTAATAGACTCAGGGCTGGAGGCAGCAGTGGCAGCTTCCGAAGGGAGATCCAGGAAAGGGTGTGTGTGTGTGTGTGTGTGAGATGTATAACCAATCACTCATACATAGATGTGTGTGATGTATAACCTGTAACACATACATACATGTGTGTGATGTATAACCTATAACTCATATGTATGTGTGTGAGATGTGTAACTCATGCATATGTGTGTGGTTGTGTGTTATATGTATAACTCATACAGGCATGTGTGATACGTATAACCTATAGTCATGTTAAGTGCTCTTTGAAAATGGGTGATTTGTATTGTAGCCTTCAAAGTACTTTTTTTTTTTTTTTTTTTTACATAATTGAAGCTTGGGTTACTGCAGTTGTAGAATGATATCTAGAAAGGAAAACCATGTATGGAATAATATATTAAGTATTTGAGGACATTCTTGATGTGGGCCATCTCTCTGATACAACGTAAATTGTTTGTGAGACATGAAAATGGAGATGCTCTGGAATATATCAACAGAAGGGCAGGTGATAGATAGAAATAGAAAATTGTTTTGGGCTAGATGTGAATATGAGGAGCGACTTGGCCTTTATGATTTTTGGAAAAGTCTTAGGTTTGGTTTGGTCTTTGGTTTCTTTCGGAGATACTTGTAAAAGGCAGGGGTTGAGACCCTGCAGTAGCACATCTTTAATGTTAGAAATAGCAAGAGTACACAGTGGGATGGATTTGGATTGTGGGTGAATGTTTAATAATAGGCCAAAGAAGAGAAGGTTAAAATGGAATAATTTGCACTGGATAAGTGTCTGTTTTCATGTCTGAAGTCTCACTGGAAGGTAGTTGATGCATTTCGAGAGGTGCAGATAATCTGTGTATTTCATGCTTTCGATTTGGAGAAATCTCAGCGTTAAGCTAACATTTTTGACATGGGTGCAAATTAGTTGAATTTTAAGTAGGACTGTGAGAGTTCATGGCAGTGATGAAACAGATATTACAAAAACAGTTTTAGTCACTGATAAGATGAATTTGCTGCACTGTTATCTATAGCATTAAAATGTAGACATTCTCATCATTTTCCAATTAGAATTTCTGCTTTAATTATGCCAGTTTTGGTTGTGTACTGTTTGAAGTGAAGTAAGCAGACCTTCCATATACTCAGGGTAATCCAGACTGAAGGTGAAGATAGGGCTGCCTCAGGGCCCCATATTGGAAATTTAGCCTCGAATCAGATTGACTGAGCCTCTCTGTAGGCCGTTGACTCACTGCAGATTCTGAAGCATCAGCTCAGTCTCGATTTTCACTCTTCCATTGAAAGTTTTATTTTACCTTTTGCAACAAAGTGCTGTTTTAGGCATAAATTCTAAGTTAAATCATTCTGGCAAAACTTAATTCTTAGTCCTTCTGTTTTAGTTTTATTACAACCTATCTATCAACATATATGTTTATGTTGAATTGTGAAGTCAGTACATGTGTAACATCAGTATATTGTTTGAGCGATTTCTGTCATTGTTATGTGCACAGTTTTTCTGGACAGGTGAAAGTAACACATAGAATTCCATGAAACTGTGAACTTTGAGAACTACTTGGCTGACACATATTTTCATTCAGGCAAATCAGTTCCTGGCAAATTCCCAAGAATCCCTCAGGACTGAGCTCAGGTGTTTCTTCTAGGAGCTTGGAGGTGCTCCTTGCCCAGGGCCTCGTGTCCCTAGTCAGGACGTCTCCTGCCTGGGGCATTGTAATCTTGGTTCAGCCCTTCTCTTTTAGTGACTGCCTCACTTCTCAGCCTCTGACACTCCTTTTTATGCCACCAGCGCCTGGCACAGTGCAGTTCCTGTGTGGTGAATGGATTAATCAAGTCATAAGAATGAACACCAGGGTAACCCTAAGAAGGAAGAAGGGCAAAGATCGATGCAGCCTTGGGTGGGGTGTAGGTGGGAGGCAGGCCTGGCAGCTTCTTCAACTTGGGTTTGGGGTGTACAGTCCTGGCTCCCCTTTCTTGCCTCCCATTCGTGCCTCAGTTCATAGTCTTTCAGATTCTGCCCTCACCTCTGATGAGACTGCCCTGGCCATGGTCAGCAATGGCCTCCTCGTCACCGGGACAGCAAAAGCTTTAGCCCTCACCTGTTGGACCCTGGGCTGCATTTGACATGCCTGTTCTGTTGCTACACATGACTCCCTTCTCTTGCTCTCTAGAATTCTAACTGCATTTTCTGAATATTCGTTTGGTCTCTCTGTGGGCTCCCCCCCCTCCCCCCGCCTTCTCCCTTAATTGGTGATATTTTCTAGATATTTGTCCTCCACCAATTTTTCTGTTTTCATATATTCTTCCTGGATAAAATTCTTGTTTCACATGATTCCCATTGATTAATTCATCTAGGATTTATTGAGCATTTACTATGTGCCAAGTGCACTGTTTGACTTCTGTCCTGGAGATATAATAGTGAGTAAAACAAAAAGATCGCTGCCCTCCAGGACCATATGTCCTCTGTATGCAGAGTTCCCTAGTTGTTATTGTAGGCTGGAAACTCATTGTGTGTCTTCCTTCTGGGTATTTTCTCCTGGATTTTCAGTGGGAACCTCAAATTTAATCTGTAGAATCCTGAAGGGTCCCACTTCCCGGGAGTGTTGATGTGCTTCTGCCCCGCATGCTGTCTCAGCATCTGTGAAGCCCCCTTGCTCCTGGCTTCCACCACTCGGTCTCCAAGGTGCCCCGCACCCCCGGCCTGTCACTTGAATCTGGGCTTGTTTCTTCTGCTGCTCTACCAGTTCAGGACCTCAGCTCACCCGCCTGCTGTGGCCACCACCCTGGCTCCAGCCACGCCCGAGATCAGCCTTCTGAGAGGCAGATCTGACTGTAGCTCTGTTTATCCCCAAGGTACAACCTGAAGCCTTTAAAATGACATATAAGGCTCACCTTGTATATACTGGCTTCTGCCTGCTTCAGCTTCTCTGCAAATTGCTGCTTCATTTGGATCTAAACTGCTTGTTGCCTCATACACACCAGGTAGCTCCTCTCCCCTGAGCCCCTGCTTTGTACTGTTTCTCTGCTTTGTGGTATTCTACGCCCTGCCCCTCCCCATCTTGAACATGGGTTTCTCCTATTTCTCCTGCTAATCCTCAAGTCTTCCTGAGAGTTCCCATGAACTCAGTGTGAACATGGAGTCTGGCCCGCAGTAGGGAGCAGTAGAGTTTGGGAAGGAAGGAGTGACCGGCCTGTTGGGTGAGCGCTGCAGGCCCTGTAGCACTGTGGTGAGGGACTTCCCCACCCCTGCCTGGCTCTTTGGAGGCTCTGGGATCTGAAAGCCCAGGCTGAGGCTCTGGCTCTGGCTCTCCCGCATGGCCTTGGCCCCAAGGCCCTTGGCTGACTCACCAAGACAAGAATAAAACACAGAGTCTAGTTTTGAACTGGTTATGTTTGGTAAGATGCTGACTTACATAGGAAGGTGGCTTGTGACTGACTCATAGTCCTGGGTGCTTGATCATGCACACTAGTGATCGTTGAAAGTGTTTACCCTAGACATTCTGTATTATTTAAAATCCTTTCACTTTCTAATGAGCACTCAGATGCATTAATGTTTGATAAGGACTTTCCGACTCAGGTCTAAAATAAAGTAGTTCTAAGAATACTTTTAAGTCAGAAAGTGTTCCTAACCGTTTAGTGTACCTTGCCTTTGTTACTAGTAAGCTAAGAGGAGCTGGGTGAGACTTACTCCCACACGCATAACAGAATTTAGATGCAAATGTTTTCTCTCTGCTTAGGATGCAAGTCTTTCCTTATGTTTACTGCTGGCTCCTCTTAGTTGTTAAAACCTTCCTAAAGGTAGAAAAATAAAATGTCTTGTGTCCATGTAGGTGTTTTCCTTAATGCTTTTCTGGGTTTTTATTTATCATTGTTTATAATATTTTTTAAAGGATAGTTGTGTTTTTAATGTATGTGTCATCATGACAAACTTTCTGCCTTTGTAACAAATAATGACTTAGTAAGCTTACTTCTTCACTTATTCTTTCACAGGGCAGCCCAATGGATCCCATGGTGATGAAGAGGCCTCAGTTGTATGGGATGGGCAGTAACCCTCATTCTCAGCCTCAGCAGAGCAGCCCATACCCTGGAGGTTCCTACGGCCCCCCAGGCCCACAGCGGTATCCTATCGGCATCCAAGGGCGGACCCCAGGGGCCATGGGAGGAATGCAGTACCCACAGCAGCAGGTTTGTGCCTCTTGTTCCTCCCCCACCCTCTTCTCACCGGGGATAGGTCTGTCTTGTCTTTATTGTCCACCTAAGGTTGGTATTGGGAGAATTAGGGGGCATGTCACTGATTTTCTGCTCTCTTCAATTTTCATATATATATTTTTTTAAATAATCACAGGTACAACCCTCCCCCCTCCCCTTTTAAAGAAAGAAGAGTGAGCTTCTTAGAACACAGTTTGGTAGAGGGCCCGTGTTGCCAGCTGTCTTTGAAAGATGTACCCTGTCATCATTTTGCAGCAAATTATATAGACCTTAGCCCTGAAGTGAACTTGCCTTTCCAACATTTCTGGTGTCAGACTGTCAGAGTTTGAGCTGTGAATAGACTTCCTAAGGCAAAGTTTTAAGTTATTTAAAGGTCTTTCTCATGAAGATAGCATCAACTTAAAAAAAATTTTTTTAGTCTCCCAAAAAGTTATTTTACTTTTATGTCTTCTGTACCTTTTGAAACAGGTTTCTGTATTTCATATAAGAGGATTTGATGTGTATCTGTTCTCTTAGATTTTCATGGGTTTTCTGTTTTTACTTCAAACAAACAAAAAAGACTTTTCCCGTTCTCAAGACCCAGGATTTTTCTCTAGAATCAAACAGTTGGAGTTGCCTTAAGTGACCATCTGCCTGATAGCAGTAGTAACCTCGTCTCCTGGGCGCTGGAGAGTGTACCCTGTATGTTACCCGAGGAAGCAGGAAATCTGGGAAGGGTGAGTTAGACTTGGCAGGGGAGTCAGTCACTAGGAACACCAGAAAGGCTGATTTATAAGCCCCCTCCCCGTGCCGTTAGCCCCAGGGTGCTTCGGGCTGCCGCCTCCACAGAGGGAGAGGGGTTTCCGTGGTGCTGCCATAGCCCACTCTAGGGCTTCACAGCCCTTCTCTCAGGAGGTGCTTCCTGACGTTTGACCAAAAACCCTTCGTGGAAATAAAACTGGCACTTTTGTTCTCTCCAAAGTGGATTGGAGAATGTACATCATATTCCACGTGCTGCATTAAAAGTTCCTGGTTAAGGTGCCCCTGAGCCTTTTCTTTCAGAGGCTGAATAATGTCTTTCCTCTTTACCTTGGTCCTCCACTGGCCATGCTCTTATTTCCCACGGTTGTAGGGAAAGACAAGTAGCTCCGCCTTAGAATCCCGCTCTGGTTCCTTACATGCCTCTGTTACGGTTGGAAGTTCTCACCCTGCTTGTTAAAGATGGGCCGCTCAGGAGTCTAGCATAAGCTACTCTAAACTTTTCCAACATTACTCCTTTCTCCCAGCAATACCTTACTATCTAGAGTACAAATCTTTAATTGAGGTTGCTAATTGTGAGAGGGAGATAATTTGTAAAGGATTGAAAAGTGAGGCGAGAGGAAGAAGGCCAATGCAGCTGGCTGCTGAAGCCCTAATTCTGCCCTGGCGAGTTCACTGGGGCGCTGATCGTTCCATGTGATGCTCTGGCCACAGGGAGAGCAGAGGCAGAAAGCTAGTAAGAAGTAGCAGGACCTTAAAAAAAAAATCTAACAAAAAAAAAGCAGCAGCAGCAGGACCATGGAGAGGGGGCGATGCTGGTCACTCCTTGCTTCTGCCCCTTTCTCCCCGCTGCTTTCCTGATGGGAAATTGGAAAGCCATTTCGAAAGGGGCTGTTTATGGCAAGCTGCTGGCTGCTCCTTTATCTGTCCTCTGAATGAGTTCCAGTCTTCCTAGAAGTGTTTGCCATTGTCTTAGTTTGTAGTACCAAAGTGGGAATCGAACAATTGGAGAAGGTGTGTGAAGAATGATTACCTAGGAATGTGCTTAGCACACATGTGTAAGGCTAAAGTGGAGGACATATTACAGATACATAGAGTACCCTCAGTGTTCTTAGCTTTTTTGTTTTAGTTAATCCCTGTGGCTCTTACGTCCTTGTGAAATCCAGTGACTATGGATTTATTGGAAGGGACAATTTGATGAATATTACCTACCAAGTATTTTAGCAAATGTTTAATTAAGATTTTTAGATTAGGTATTTTACTGCTAACCAATAGAAATGCCTGATTCTAAACACAGATCTTTCTGATGGTGAAAGGGAAGTCAAGTATCTGGTAGGAAACAATGCTTTGGCTAGAAAATGTCAAACTTTCCTGTTGAGTTCATCATGATGGAGGGTTCTAAAACCCTTTATTGCTTTTCATCTTTTCATTAGTTATTATATATCCTTGAAATAAACTATTTCGTTTTGAAATCTAAAAGGCTAAATTAAACCTAATTGAACGCCTTTTTGTATGTAACATTTTAAAGGGGACACACAGCTTTTATCATACATAGTAAGTTCATGTGGTCAGTTAGGTGTAGGTTTTGAAATGGGAAAAAAGTGAAGGTTTTGGTAAAGGTTATTAGAACACATTTATTTTGTTAGCTTTAGTCTGTGTCCTTTGGTGAGGAATTTTCAGTGAGTTGCTTTGTGTGGGTAATTATGAACTTACCCACAAAGTCCTGGCACAGTGATTGGCTGCTGGTCTTATTTGTCTTCTCCTAGTATTGTGTAATTGTCTGAGCCTTGTTGTAGTCATGGTTGCTAATGTTGTTCAGGAAAAAAGTTGGAAGATAATGATGACATGGAGTTTTTATTGCGTGGCCATCAACACCGAGGCATGACTTTGCCTTGGGTGGCATCCAGAGCTTTCTGCGTTTGGTTTCTGAACCTCTAATGAGCTGAATCCGGTTCGTTTAATATTGTTCCTATATTTCTGCAAAGGTTCAAAATGCAGGAATTCAAGTTTGTAAATTGAGTGGCCCACTTACCAGCTGAGTGGTAAGTTGTCTTTGGCTCAGGGGTCACAGTTTGATTCCTGGCTGGCATTCCACTCCTGTGACAGGAATTTTAAATGAGTATTCTGTTAGAAAGAACAGCCATGCTTATAGGAGATTTAACATGGGTGGTATCACTGCTTGCTTTTCGTCTCTGAGGGTCAGGAGGAGCTGGCCACTCAGTGTGTGATTTTAGTATTAACCTGGCAATTCGTGATTTGTATGGTGATAATTTTATTTTTGAAATAAACTCATGACTGGGTCTTTGAAGCATGACATGATAATGGTACATCATTTTGGTGTTTATTAACTGGAACTAGATTTGTGGTCTTTCACTTGCTGATTCTCCCACATCATCAGGCAAATACATGACTAAACAGATTAGTTTTGCACGGTGCCCTGAAAACTAGCCTACTTGGGTTTTTATTGAGCTGCGAGGGGAAATGAATTTTCTGTGCCTCTGTGGGGAGCGTTCTGCCTCCAGCTCCTGGAATTCAAACCTGAGATGGTTAACAGAAAGGAGTCCACTGGCTGATTTCCTTTCAGACAGGCTGCACAGAAGATATGTGATCTTCAAGGGGACAAGTACTAGGTCTTGCCTCTTTCTGAGGTATTCAGTTATTTAAAAAAACGTAGACAGCAAAATATCTTTTCCTGGATCAGGGACATGAGTGAACAAATGTTTGTTTCATTTTCCTTGTCCTTTGTGATCGTAAATGTATACATAGGTCTGTGTGGCTTGCTTTGAAAAAGATTTTTCATATAAACGAAATAGCGCCCAGGAGAAATAGGCTACAGAAACAAAGGTATATTTATTTGTGCCAGGCAGGTTATGTCGTCTGAGATTTTTCTTGAGTTATCAAGGGTTATTGGGTCAGTATTTTAACTGTCCTTACCTTGTTGCAGATGTTTGTATAATCTGATGCCTGTTGGCATTATAAAACCAGGGAAAGGGAATGAGGGTAAGGTGAGAGATTTAAGTCCATGAGTGCTTTTATAATGGAAAATGATGACTTTTTTAGTTTTTAAAAACATACCTGTATTGTGAAGACCTTTACAACTATAAGACCATGGAATATAATCATTGTTTTGAAAGATAGTCTGGCAAAATGAAATAGAAATTACTTAATTTTGTTTTAAAATAAAATGGAATTAAAATTAGTTTCTTTAAAAAAAACTTTAAAAATCAGTAGGCATTTAAATTTGTGTCTTTAATTTATCTTCTGCAGCCTTTGGATATGTCTGTTTTGCTGTGTGTATTTTGTCTAAAATATTTATTTTAGAACATAAGCATTTTATTTAGTGCCATCTTAACAGCCAAAACACTTCTTCCAATGCAAATATTTATTGGGACAGCAGATGTTTCTAAAGGAGACCAACATTACAATTGTTTGGCTAAAATAAATGTTTTTTTTGGAGGTTATTAAGGCAGCCTAGCAGGTTATAGGATTCCCACCTGTGTTATTTTCATAATTAAAATTATATATATGTTTTGATATTGTTTGAACAATGTGTCTGAAAAGTAAGGATGAGTGGGGAGGGGAAGACTGTTTAAAGATGTAAAAATTCTAAAGTCTTTTGATATGAAATGTTTGTTTAGACTCAGTCTCTGAATCTCAAATGGGAATCTAATAGCCAGGGCCTAATTTTCGTTTTCTCTAACAAGAGCTGAGACTTCCTGTTCTTAAGGAGCATGATTGAGTGTGATTGGATGAGCAAGGAAGGCTTGACAACATAACGGGAGGAATGGGCACCTCCTGTCTGTTTCACATTCAGATTTAATTTTTTGATAGTTTATATTAAAGATATCCACTTGTACCTGTATGCGCACGCGCTTCCTCACACATGAAACAGCATATTTGTGACAGTGGTATTGTGGTGTAATGAAATTATCTGTATATGCATATAGATAATATATTAAACATGTATTTTACCTGTGTAAGGAAATACATGCACATAACAGATAAATAAAATGAAGGTAAACATGCTGGCCGGTAAAATAGTGAGTGCTGTGAATTCGCTCACTGTTAATTTACAGTGTTTTTATATATGCATGTTCTCTACTACGAGACTTAGAGCCAAGCTGCTTTGCGTGTACACCTGAAACGTTTGGAGTCCTTTTAGCAGAGACAGATTTTTATAAATAATGGCCTTTTGTTGGCCACATTTTGTCTTGATTTCCTCAGTTGTTCTTCATCAG